CCGGGTGCGGGGGGAGCCCGCTGGTGGGTGTCAGCTCAGTAGGTTAGTAGGTTCCTGGGTGCAGGTGGAGCCCGCTGGTGGGTGTCAGCTCAGTAGGTTAGTAGGTTCCTGGGTGCAGGTGGAGCCCGCTGGTGGGTGTCGGCTCAGTAGGTAGGTGGGTCCCTGGGTGCAGGGGAGCCTGCTGGTGGGTGTCGGCTCAGTAGGGAGATAGGTCCCTGGGTGCAGGGGAGCCCGCTGGTGGGTGTCGGCTCAGTAGGGAGGTAGGTCCCTGGGTGCAGGGGAGCCCGCTGGTGGGTGTCGGCTCAGTAGGTATATAGGTCCCTGGGTGCAGGTGGAGTCCGCTGGTGGGTGTCAGCTCAGTAGGTTCGTAGGTTCCTGGGTGCAGGTGGCGCCCGCTGGTGGGTGTCGGCTCAGTAGGTATATAGGTCCCTGGGTGCAGGTGGAGTCCGCTGGTGGGTGTCAGCTCAGTAGGTTCGTAGGTTCCTGGGTGCAGGTGGCGCCCGCTGGTGGGTGTCGGCTCAGTAGGTATATAGGTCCCTGGGTGCAGGTGGAGTCCGCTGGTGGGTGTCAGCTCAGTAGGTTCGTAGGTTCCTGGGTGCAGGTGGCGCCCGCTGGTGGGTGTCGGCTCAGTAGGGAGGTAGGTCCCTGGGTGCAGGGGAGCCCGCTGGTGGGTGTCGGCTGCCCACAGGATCCTTGCAGGATGGGGGGGCTTCAGCGAGCCCATGGGCACAGGGAGAGTAAGTGAGGGGCTGAGCCTTGGTGCAGATTGGGTACCGTGTTTGTTGTCTGCAGAAATGCTTGCATTTTGGGGCTCCTTCTTGACAGATTATCTCAAAAGACCTAGTTGCCATGTCAGATTCTGGCACCTGCTGGTCAGCCTGAAGTACAGGAGGCCGGCAGAGCAAGGGAGCTGCTCTCGGTCAATCTTCCATTTGGCCTTTGACCCTTGGAACCACTGTCAAATGACTGTCAGAAACGGGAGCAGGAGAGGGCCTGCGGTGTCAGTGGGACTCTCGGGGCCTCGTCCTCTTGTCCGCTCCGCGTGGCCAGGCCCCGCGGGGACGGGGTGTCCCGCTGTGTGTCGCAGGGAACCCGCGGCTCCCCAGCTGCCCCTGCGTCGGCGGCAGCAAGAGCACCAGGAGCTCGGGCCCGGGTCACCCGTTTGGGGTGAGCTCAGTTCCTCTCGTTCAGCGTCACCTAGCGTCACCGTTCAAGTACATTCACGCCGTGTGGCGCTGGGGCCCGATGCCGGGCGAGTCGCTCGGCCTCAGGGGTCCATGCAGTCTGTGAATGGCAGACCCGCTGGAGGAAGCATTTGGACAGGCTGTGGGTTTTGTTAAAGCCTCAGCGCGCTCTGAGCCCCAGTCGGGCCTTGACAGTGCCCGCGCCCTGCAGCCCGCTCTGGCCCGCGGGCCTCTTCTGCCCCCTCGTCCCTGGCCCCGGGCGCGTGGCCAGGTGCAGGTGCTGTCCTTCCTGATGCCGCGTGGGAGGCAGGCTCTGCTCCTCACGTCAGAGTCGCTGGTAACCAGAGCCCCGCGGGGCCCGCACAGGCGGGCGCTGCGCCCGTTCTGAGCATTTTCTTCTGTCTCGTCGCCCGGCTGCCCCGTGAAGCACAGCGGGCTGCAGAGCTGCTTTCGTGCTTCCTTCTCCCTCACGTGGGAGGTGCTGCTGTGAGGCGAGTGCACGGACCCCGTCCTTTCCCCCGGTCCTGGCCCAGCCCGCCCCCGTCCTCCCTCTGCCCACAGGGCCCTTCTGCCT